TGTTTTTCCGTGATATGTCGTATTCCATTGAATTATCAAAATTTCTGTATCTATTCTTCTACTGATGGGCATTTGTTGTTTCCTTCTTCTTGCTATTATAAACAGTGCTGTGATGAACGTGTGTTAGTCTGGGATGACTAGAGAACCGAATCCAGAGACACTCATGGGTATAAGAAAGAGCTTTATAGAGAGTAATTGTGTAGTCCCAACTTGGCACTCTGCCATGTCCTGTGATGTCTTCGACTTCTACTGGACTTATGTGAAACTTTTTAGAAGTGCTAAATTGGAAAGCCTGTATGATTGAAAAAGATGTTGAATGGATGAGCTGCTGACACTGACAATAATAGCACTCGTGATTGAAAATTCCTTTTCTTTCCCCTAAAAACAACAACAACTACTTGTTGCTACTGTGTAGTTCGGCAGCTTCACATGGAATTCTTGAGAGCCGGATCAAACGTCATGCAAACATTCGCCTTTTCTGCCAGCGAGGACACTACGGAAAGCAAGGTAAGTCTGCAGGAGGAGGCATCGTCTAGGGCAGTGGTTCTCAAGCTTCCTAATGTCGCGACCCTTTATGTGGTGGCGACCCCCAACCATAACATTATTTTCATTCCTACTTCATAACTGTAATTTTGCTACTGTTATGAATCAGGTGACCCCTGTGAAAGGGTCGTTCGACCCCCAAAGGGGTCGCAACCCACAGGTTGAGAACCGCTGGTCCAGAGTATAACCACCCTCTTGATGGAAGCTATGGAATTGACAGTCTGTGCTATCACACTTTATTGAGGAACCCCACATACGAGCTCTATTAGTTCATTGCTATGTACACAGATATACTAAATGAATGCTCCTTTTCTGCCCCTTTCATTGAGGGAGGATGAAGGGCGGGACTGAGGAAGGAGAGATCCTTGCAGTGGCACGGCCAATCCTCTGTGCTTCTCTGTCTGACCAACCTTCTATGGAGGAAGAGGAAGCCCAGTGCTCCCTTCTTGTACACTCCCCTTTGACCTTCTCATTCCGCATTCCTCCTTCCTGTTTTGTCCACCTGGAGACAGGTGGCCCTGGGGACACTAAAGTGGTTCAGGCTTGCGAAGAGCTGTGTTTGATAGCCAATGTTGCGGTTTTGTGAGAGAACCTTGCCTGAACTGACCATCCTTTTTTTTTTCCCTGTCTAAATCCATGGAGATAACAGTAGTGTGTAAATTCATGGAGTTGCAGAGTAGAGTAAGGGAAAATGAAGGATGAGAAAGAATCATGACATATTCTGCAAATGTAAAAGATTAATACTTGAATTCTAATTTTCTCATTCAAGCCACCAGTATTCACTGAGTCCATTGTAGTCCATTCACTGTGGGGCCTGTTGGACTCAAAGATGACAGATACAAAGGCACAGATTCTATTCTGAAGGCACTCAGTCTCAAGGGTGGGAGACAAACAAATCTACGGCCATCACAGCCCACTGTGGTAAGCCCACCATTGTCAGCCGAGGAGAGGGGCCCTGCCTCTGCCAGCGTGCCCCTGTGACAGTTCACACCTGCTGCGTGTACTCATCATCCTGGTTCATGGCTCCATTTCTTATGTGTTGTATTTGACCTTTGAAAGGCCAAGCTCACTCTCTGTGCTCTTATTTTCTAATCTTAGTGGGAAGATATAAACGCAGCTGCCTGTGACCTCGCCAGAGAAGTGGGTCGAAAGGGTGATGCTTTGGTTGCTGGGGGGATCTGCCAGACATCCACGTACAAGC